TTGCAGCAGTCGACCCTCCACCAGAAAGGACAAAATGGAGAGCTCCAGGGAGCCAAGGTCATTGGGTTGCGGTCGTACCCGCTTCTGGATTGGCTGCTGGTTCCGTACGCCCAATCAGACAGCGCCACGTGGTACCAGACGACATTCAACGAGTGCATAGAGAAGGGCACTGCGGTGGGGAAGGACGCGATTGGGCGGCTGAAGGGACGGTGGAGGATCCTGCTTCGGCGGGCTGAGGGGAAGCTGCATGAGCTGCCGCGGTTGGTGGGGGCGTGCTGTGCGCTGCACAACTTCCTGGAGCAAAAGGGCGAGGCGTTTGACCCTGAGTGGGCGTATGAGGCGTTTGATGACTACGTGCCCGCCAAGCGAGCCGATGACGAGTCCCCTGCTGCCGTCGCCGAGAGGGATGCGCTGGCCCACGGCATGTTCCAGGCCGTGCACGGGTGGGAGGGCCACGCTGCCAATGCGCTGTGAGCTTGAAGTTACTTTTGAGTCGACTCAAAAGTCACCTCGTTACAATGCCACGCTGCCAATGCGCTGTGAGCTTGAAGTTGTGAAACGTGGATCCTCCAAGCCTTGTTTCTTTTCAGCGTCTTATGAGACCTTAGGAGGTTTTGGTTAGGGTGTATGAGGGCTGGAGCTTTCAAATCTGGCACTGACACTCTCTGTTTTGGTAAGAAGTCCCTAGATCCACCTGCATAACATAAAGCGTTTTCAGTTGCAAGTTACAAGCACATCTTCCAAAGAATGTCTTGCAACCGGTCACCAAAAACTTTCCTCGAAAACTGTTCCTCCACATGATGTCGGGCAACTTGACCCATGGAAACTGCCCGAGAAGGATCAGACCGCAATGTAGCCAGTGCAGCAGCAAACGATGAGGGGTTTGGAGCACAGAGGAAGCCTGTTGTGCCATCCAGGACACTCTCTGTGGGGCCTCCACTGTTGCATGCCACCACTGGCTTGCTCGCTGCCATGGCTTCCAATGGCACTATGCCAAAATGCTCGTTCTGGAATTAAAAATGGAAAGTCAATAGCAAAATCAAACAAATCCAAAAATCATGAATTCATGAAAGCGGATGTGAGAGAGAGAAGGAAAAAAAAAACACACAGTGGACAATACTCACTGGAGGGGTGTAGACTACAGCAGTGCAGTGGGACAACAGCTGAGCCTTGAGCGAGTCACTAATGGACGTGAGGAAACGGACATCGGATGCCACCCCCTCCATAACAGCTAGTTGCTTCAGCTCTTGGAGATACTCCACGTTCTCGCACACGCGAGCATCACACCCACCTGATACAGATAGAGAATAATTGGTTCAGAGTAGGGGATTGAGGGAAAAGGACATCGGATGCCACCCCCTCCATAACAGCTAGTTGCTTCAGCTCTTGGAGATACTCCACGTTCTCGCACACGCGAGTGTCACACCCACCTGATACAGATAGAGAATAATTGGTACAGAGTAGGGGATTGAGGGAAAAGGACATCGGATGTCACCCCCTCCATAACAGCTAGTTGCTTCAGCTCTTGGAGATACTCCACGTTCTCGCACACGCGAGCATCACACCCACCTGATTCATACAGAGATGGAAGAGGTGGAAACTATGTGAGAGAGTGTGAATGGGAGAGAGGGGAAGGGGATGGAGTAAAACTGAAGGGTACGGATGACGCTTGGTCGAGAGGCAGTGGAGCAGAACTTCTCGCATCACAACTTGTGCCACCTAATACAATCCTCCTCGCTTGCATCGGCACCGTTACCAGCTCACCTGCAACAACAAGCCGAGGCCGCTGCCCTTTTGCCAGAATGGCAGCAGTGGCATCTTGGCTGCTGGAAGTGACTGCACCCGCTGACGAGCGCGTGAGAAGACCCAGAGCAGAGATGGCAGTGGCAATCTCCTTCTTGCTTGCCTCACCACCATTTCACAGCTCACCTGCAACAATGAGTCGTGGGCGCTGTCCCTTTGTCAAGGCAGCAGCAGTGGCATCTTGGCTGCTGGAAGTGACTGTACCCGCTGACGAGCGCGTGAGAAGACCCAGAGCAGAGATGGCAGTGGCAATCTCCTTCTTGCGCTCGTATCGGTTGATGGACAGGAAGAAAGGACTGAAGAAGGGAACGGGGAGAGGAGGGGGTTGAGGGGGGTGGAGGGGAGGGTAGCGCGGGGAGATTAGGGTTGATGACTGGAGGGAGAAAAGGGAACAAGAAGGACAGGGAATGGCAGTGGTGCTTTGAGATGTCCGAAGAAGAAGAAGAAGCTTTCTAACGGAAGCACGTCTAGCATGCAAAATTACATGCAAAACTAGTGTGCACATCATCCCATCCGGCCCACTCAGCTCAATCCTTCTCAATGGCCCCCCAAAAAAATCACCTGTGGAGATCTAGGCCAAGCTTCTCTGCTTCATCGACAGCAGGACCCAGGTTGCCAGAACCACCCCTGCTAGCAGCAGTAGATGGTGGGGAATCAAGTGCCACGGCTGGGTAGAGCACAGCGGGGCGGATGCCGTGTGATGCTAGCGAGGGGAAGGTGGCGGCGAATGTGGCTGCAGTGAAGTGACTGTTGACCACTATGGTGTCTGCCATGCCTGTGGGGTCAAAGAGACGATGGAGAGGAGATGGAGAGAAAAGAGAAGAGAGAAAATAACTTTGAATCCTCATAAGTGACTCCAGTGTGGCTGCAGTAAAGTGACTGATGACCACTATGGTGTCCGCCATGCCCGTGTGGGGACATAGAGAGGACGGAGCGAGGAGGATAAAGAGGAGACGGACATAAGGTGGTGGCTAATGTGGCTGCAGTAAAGTGACTGTTCACCACTATGGTGTCCGCCATGCCTGCAGGGTAGGGTTGACCACATTCGGATGAGCCGTACACACTATTGCCGGAGGGTAAGAGCACATACTATTCGAAAGCACATGCCAACAGCATCCTGCACGCACCAGTGGTGGTCTGCTCCACCCAGTCTATGGGCGCTCGGTACAGCAAACAAAGAGTGAATGATCAACGGCATCATGCACGTTCAGGGATGCCAAGCCAGAGTGAATATAAGCAGAGCACACACATGCCAAGCCACATCACCCTGCCCGCCTGCACTGCGCGCACCAATGGTGGTCTGCTCCACCCAGTCAATGGGAGCTTGGTAGAGTGAGCGCACAGTTAGTGCGAGACATTAACATGCACTTGCCAGCATACACACATGCCATGCCAGTACGCATGCCAACAGCACGCACTAGTGGTGACCTGCTCCACCCAGTCTATGGGCGCTCGGTAGAACGAACGCAGCCACGAGCCCCGCTGAGCTAGCAGCAGGTCCGGGAAGTGACAGTAGAAGAGAATCTGGTACAGAGGGGGGAGAGGGGGAAGAGGGGGAATAGGGGGGAGAGGGAGAGTAGGGGGGAGAGGGGGGATAGGGGGGAGAGGGAAGAGAATGGGGCGAGGGGGGATAGGGAGGAGAGGGGGGACAGAGGGAAACGCATGGTGATCGCCTTTGAGGTTAGGAACATTACACAAGGGCATGATACAGGTGGGGAGAGAGGACTTGGGCTCTGCTCTGATGCGACTCAGAAGTTGGTTCCCAGCGACATGCAACAAGTGGTGAGAAAATGCAGGACGTGCATTGGACATGCAGGATAGGCTGTTCAGCATGGGATGGAAGCAGAGCAGCGTAAGTGAGACAGGAGAGAACGGGAAGGGGAAGGGGAGGGGGGAAGGGGGTGGGAGGGAAGGGAAAAAGGGGAAGGTTCAAGGGAAAGGGAAGGGAAAGAGGGAAGATAGATAAGTGGGAAGGGGAAGGGAAATGATGAAGGGAAGGGTAATGAAACCACCTTGGAAGGCAGCAATCTGAGGATTGGATGGACGGCTGAGACTTGATCTGTGATGATCGCATCAACGGCTGGGATCCACCGAAGCCACACGGAGATGACGATGCAGAGCGCCGCCCAGAGGCACCTGAGGTAGGCGCAGATTGCGTGAAACCGGCCGGCGATGTGGCGAGGGAGGAAGCTTCCATGCACGTGCACAGGGAAGGTGCCTGTTGAAGAGGGGAGAATAAGAGGTGGGGATTGAAATCAGGGTGATGCGCTAGTAGCTGATTCAACAAGCCCCAAGGAGGAAAGATGTTGAGTCACGACAGGGAAGATCAGCCTCAATGAGAACCTTTGTTGCTATGCTTTCAAAAAGTCTGAACTGAGAAACTACAGATCCAAATTTGAGACTTCATAAAACTGATTTCAACATAGTTGCAACAGTTTTTACAGAGAAAGCATAAATCCATTCTTTCATGGGCTTTAAGACAGCATACAGTACCGTCAATGGTCTCCGGGAAGCATCTGTGGGGATCATGATGGGCTGTGAAGACCCGCACGCTGTGGCCTCTTGACGCTAGCTCCGCTGCTGCATCCACTATCAGCCGCTCCGCTCCTCCTGCACGCATCAATGCATTCAGGCGTGGTTTGATGTATGCATGAATGGGATGGATGCATGAATGAGATGGATGCATGAATGGGATGGATGCATGGGATGGATGCATGAATGGGATGGATGCATGGATGGGATGGATGCATGAATGGGATGGATGCATGGATGGGATGGATGCATGAATGGGATGAATGCGTTGATGAAGTCAGGGGGAAAAGAGAAGCCGCGGGATGGCTGAAACAACGGTCAAGGGGAAGGAGACGGACGGGAAGTGCTGGAAGAACACAGGAGTCCTAACGGTGCTTGATGGCTTACAGAAAGATCGAGTACAGGAGATTGAGAACGAAACTTCACCTGCATTTGAAATGTCCTTTCCGTACAACGGTTGCGGAACACGTTGCAGCGATACGTTGGGAGGGATGTTACCTAGCACTTGTTTCGTCATCTCCGGTCGGCAACAGCTGCTGAACACGGAATATTCTTCGACTCGAAGACTACAATCAAAAGACGTTACAATCGGAAGAACATTGTCTTCAGTTGTTCCCGCCATTGATTGTTTTCATAAACACTCCAAATGTCCGGCGGTCGAGCACACGCGACGCGACTCACCTATTCCCAAATCTGGATGGCAAAAAACGACGTGCAGCTTCTTTCCATCGCGCGGCGCAGACAGCAGATCCTGCTGACCCTGCATGGCTCTTGCGGATTCCGAGCTATGAACCTAACGAATCTAGCATGAATCAGATTATTATTATGAGAAAGCCGTCAGAATGCTCGCAAACCGAATAAAGATAGTAGGGCACAGGACTCTTGCACGCTCATAGTGGTCTGGCGAGCAATGGTTTCGGAGATTTGTACTTCAGGCATGAAAAGTCAATGCGAAAGCACAACGTCGGACCCGTTAGAAGCATAGCTACGAAACTTTCGCTCGATGCAGCACTTTTTCTCTTCACAACATTCCACACTCAACAGCCTACGTTCCTTTCTTGAATTTAAGAACTGCCAGTTTGTGCATTTAGTAGAATGTTAAGTACATCTCATGCTATCTGTTTTCCTAGTTTTGACCAGGATTCTCTGAATGGTAATCTCCTCCGCCTTCCCTCAGCTGCTGTTCTAACCACCTAATTCTAGCCTCAATGCTATCCAACCCCACAGCACCCCTGGTCAAACCCTCGACACCACCTTCGGCGGCTTCACGAGAACCCGAGGGTGTCAATGGTATAGACGCCATAACTTGTGGGTCTGCAGCATTATCAGAAATCACCACACCAATTCCTCCTTCCAGAGGATTTGCTGAGAGTAGTCCTGTCACCAAAGCTTCTGAATTTCTCACCCCTTCACGAGAAATTGCCGTTGATGCCTGCGGGGGGTTCGGGAGCTGGGGCAAAACGTTGGGCAAAATGGGTTCCGCTGGCCAAAGCTGGCTGGATAGTTGATTGGATAGATCATAACCGGGTGATTGAGTTTGCAGCAAGCCTGCTAGCGCTGGGTCAGCCAGCAGTGTTGCCAGAGCTGACGGATCAATCTGAGAAACCTGTAAGGGACTGGCTTGAAACGGCCAGAGAGGAGTGTGGCGTGATGCAGATCCAGCCGTTGCACCCAATGCTGCTGCCGCCACAGCAGCTTCTGGTGCTGCTGCCTCTGCTACTGCTGTCCATGCTACTCGAAGGGAGCCTGACGCAGAAGCAGGCAAGACCTCACCTTGCAATGCCACACCACGGCTTTGACCCACCACCGGTACCAACCCAGCCGGCCCACCACCAGATCCTACCCCTGCCACAACCCCATGTGACGACACCTCTCCCACACCACCACCAGGAATTGCCACAGGTGTCGCCACAGGCCTGGCCACAGGTAGAAACGGGGTGGGGCGGGCAGCCACAGAGGAGGAGACACTAGCAGGAACGCTCTGCGCTTGGCTCATTCTGCTGCTGCACGTGCTGGCCTTGCTGGGCTGCCCGTCACTGCCGCTGGCTGCAGTGGTAACCCCGCTGCGGTAGCTGCCGCTGCTGTAGCTCCTGCTGCTGTGGCTGCTGCTGTGTTCCCTTCCGCTACCATGCTTGCTGCCGCTGAGCCCTGAACGTGCGCCTGGGTGTGCGATCGACTCCCCTGCAGCTACATTTTGAGAGGCGCTTCGCTGGGAGAGTCGGCTGCCACAGGCGGACAGGGACTGCATTCCCTGGCTTAGAGCCTGGTCTCTTAAAGCTTGTTCGCTTAAAGCCTGGTCTCGTAGTGTTTGTTCCCTTGATCCTTGGTCTCTTGGTGTTTCTTCCCCTGTTGCTTCTTTGCCTGCACCCGCTCCAACTGCAGCTGCATTAGCATCTGTTTCTAACGGCAAAGCCTCTAGCTCTTCCTCGGTTGCCCCAACCCCCCCTCCTGCTCCCCCTCCATTTGTTCCCCTTGCCCCTGCTCCTGTTCCCGTATCTCCCCCTCTTGATTCCACACCTGCTGTTGTCCCTCCAACATTTGCTCCTCCTCCTCCTTCCAATGCCACTTGCACGGGTGCTACAGCCCCCCGCGCACGTACTGCTACGCTTGCTCCTTCTTCTGCTACTTCTGCAGCCGCTGCTCTTGCTCCAGCCTCTGCTGCTGCTGCTCCCACTACTGCTGCTGCTGTTGCTGACGCCCCTACTGCGGCTGCCACAAACTCAGGGGGAAATGCTACCAGCACGCCCCCGCCTAGTGCTTCCCCTACCGTCCCTCCTCCCACCAGCAGAGCATGCGTCATGGCCGGAATGCTCCCTAGCGCTTCTTGCCCAGTCAAACCCACCAGAGGCGTGTCAGGTGGCATGGCACGAGGGAGGTTCGCGCCTGCCAGGAGCGAGGATGAGGGGAGGATTGGTGCAGGCGGATTGGGGGGAAGCACAGGGAGGATGAGGTTGGGTGGTTGAAGGGGCAGAGGGAGTGGCAAACGTGGCGGAAGGGAGGCGAAACGAGTGAGGGATGGCCGCGTGGCAGGACGAACAGAGGCAGGCAGAGACGGGCGACGGAGGAGGGAGCGTAGCTGCTGCTGCTGCTGCTGCTGCAATAAAGAAACGGTTGGGAGCTGTGCAATAGTGTGAGGCTGAAGAGATGGCAGTATTGGTGGATGTAGCTGTGGCAGCATTGGCAACTGATTCTGTGAGAGCGTCCATGGCTGTGGTTGGAAGGAAAGATGCTGCTGTGAGTGAGGTACTGGAAGGGGCTGTGCCAACGAAGCTAGTGGCTGCTGCTGCGGCTGTTGCTGTTGCTCTTGCTGTTGCTGTTGCTGTTGATGCGGCTCTTGCTGCAACTGTTGTTCTTGGTGTTCCGGCGGCTGTTGCTGTTGTTGTAGTTGCTGCTGTTGCTGCTGTTGATGCTCCTGCTCATTTTGCTGTTGTTCCTGCTGCTGCTGCTGTTGACGCTCCTGATATTGCTGCTGCTGCTGCTGCTGCTGCTGCTGCTGCTGCTGCTGCTGCTGCTGCTGCTGCTGCTGCTGCTGCTGCTGCTGCTGCTGCTGCTGCTGCTGCTGCTGCTGCTGCTGCTGCTGCTGCTGCTGCTGCTGCTGCTGCTGCTGCTGCTGCTGCTGCTGCTGCTGCTGCAACGAGACCAAACCCCTTTGTTGCTGTGATAGCTGCAGCAACAGCGCCAACTGTTGAATGTCTAAAACCTGAAAAGAAGTTGGTACAAGCGAGCCCATTTCTAAGACTAGAGCTAATCCACGCGGGGAGCCGTTAAAATTGACACCAGGATTTGACTGTAAACCCAACTGATCCGGCAGCTGCCTCTGCAAGCCATCTGCAAACATCACCTGCTCTTGCAACCCCAAACCCCGCCCTTGCAACCCTCCTAACTGCCAGTGAGGGCTACCCAGCACCTGGTTCTGTGAACCTAGTAAGCGTTCTGCCTGCACTCCAGATCCCGCACCCTGCTGTCCCCCACCCTGCTGTACGCCACCTGGCTGGCCCACGCCTTCCAGCCCTGCCGTCCAAGCAATCCCTTCAGTCCCTGCAGCACCTGGCATCTGTGAACCTGTTTGTGCCCGCACTAGTGCCGATGCTGCAGCAGCCTGCGCTAAAAGCCTCTCAGCTGCAAGCTGGGTCTGCTGGCCCGTTGAGAGTTCAATCTGCCGCTCTGCTACAGCCTGGTCGGCTAGAGATTGCCTCTGTCGCTCTGCTGCGGCCTGGACGGCTAAAGATTGCCTCTGTTGCTCTGCTGTAGCCTGGTCGGCGAAAGATTGCCTCTGCCGCTCTGCTGTAGCCTGGTCGGCGAGAAATTGCCTCTGTCCCTCTGCTACAACCTGGTCGGCGAGAAATTGCCTCTGTCGCTCTGCTGCAGCCTGGTCGGTTAGAGATTGCCTCTGTCGCTCTGCTACAGCCTGGTCGGCGAACGATTGCCTCTGTCGCTCTGCTACAGCCTGGTCGGCGAACGATTGCCTCTGTCGCTCTGCTACAACCTGGTCGGCGAACGATTGCCTCTGCCGCTCTGCTGCAGCCTGGTCCTCTGCCTGGGCTCGTTGCTGCCACCGTTGCTCCAGCTCCTGCTGGCTATCCATGAACCGTTCAAAGTCAATTTCTGCGCACACGTGGAAACACGCAGGACATGAGAAGAAAAGCAACCTCAGGGTTTCAGTTGCTACTTAGTCCAGAACATCCTGTTCTTCATCATGCATCACAAACCCTGAGAATACTTGATACTTGATGTAGAAGTTCATGTGACCCTATGCTGAGTCTCAAAAGTCGGATCAAACCTGAGAAGGAAGGGGAAGGAGATGAGCAAGCATACCACGCCTGTGCAGGTTCATGTGGCCTCCCAGTGCTCGCGGATCCTGAAACTCCCGCTTGCAGAAGCGGCACTCCAACCCTCGTTCTATCGCCGCAACAAAGCCTCGATCAGGGAAAGTCCCTGAACCGGCTCCTCCAGTAAGATTCATCATCTCGTGACCCCTACTGCAAGGTGAATCTCTTCTTCGTGCTTCGCTGGTTTGACCTCTGCCTGACATGGGTGAGCGGTTAGTAACATTCCTGTGTCTTCTTAACGGAGAATTGGTGTTCCCCACAGGAGGATTGTTCGTGCCAGGGGTTTTAGAACCATGAAAACTTGATCCAGATGATGCCGATGCAGTCCTAAAGGACGCACTCTGCGCGGACGCGCTCTGAGCAGAGACACTCTGAGCGGACCGAGAAGGTACTAAAGAACCTGAAGGGATCCGAGACAGGAAATCTGAAACTGGGGGGTGAAATTGTGCATGTGGGTGTGCTCTCTGGGCTGAAAACGGCTCAAAACCCCAAGTGCTGCTGCCAACACCAGCAGCATCGTAATCAGATCCTCCTAGCAGGCCTCCTCCAAAAGGAGCCAAGGCTGGGAACCCTCTGGAGGACGCTGCTGCTGCTGCTGCTGCTCCTGTTGGGCTGAATCCTGCTGCTACTCCAGAAAAATCGTGCCAATCTTTCGCTGCTTCCTTCACCTCTGCCTCGCTCGGAAGCACCTTTACCTGCCCGCGTCTTCTGCGCCTCTTCTTGTATCCGCTCCCACCGTTGTGCTGATCTTCTTGCTGCTGATTATGATCCTCCTGATGCCGGCCCTGCTGCTGCTGTTCCGGCCGTTGCAACTGCTGTTCGTCTTGCTCTTGCTGTTGCTGCTGCTGCTGCTGCTGTTGCTCCTGGACTAGCTCTGGCTCTTGCCGCTGTTGTGCGTCATCGGCCTGCTGCGGCTGCTGGGAGTCCCCTTGAAGCCTCTCAAGCATCTCTTGAGCCAGGCGAGCCTGCTCCATCGCCCTTTGCTCGTCCATCACGGGTTTCCTTCAGCTATCTCGGAATTTCTCTGGTCATTAATACTAAACCCCACCACCATCTTCAGTGGTACAAGAAATGATCATCACTGTGAGACACAGTGAGGCGGTGGCACACCATTATGTTGCATCAAAATCCCTCCTTCACCCGACGCCTTTCCTTAAGATCACTAATTCACGGTAATAAATTAGTACCCATCCTAACCATTCCGCGTACCACTGCAGTCCATCGAACTCTACAGCGACCACTCTGAGTCTCCCGCCAAATCTGGTCCTACGATCACGCTCAGATGGCGGAAGAGGGACTTCTCGGACGAGGTGGAGTGCACGCAATCGCCGCCCTAACCGCGAGGTTCGGAACCTCCTAGAAATTCCCTGCTCGCGTATCAACTCGAAGCAATCTGCTGTCCGCACTTTGAGCTCATGCAAGCGTCCGTTGTTGGACCGGTTGGACGACACGTGGCGAGAAAGCCCAGATATGTTCGTCATCATGATCAAGCTTGTAGAGACACTGCAGCTGCAAGCGCAGTGCCTACAGGGGCCTCTTGTAAGTATGTGCGGCGCCCTCTGCAGCTGATAGCGTGCTTGCGATTCTTGAATTTATCTTGATTCCGCAAGATTCTGCAACTTGTACCCCGCGTGAAGGAGCGTGGCGGCTAGGTGAAATTAGGGTGCGTGAGCAACATATCCTGCCCTGCCGCGCAGCAATTTGCTCTTGTGCCAGTCAAATGAATGAACCCGTCCAAACAAGCGCCGCATATGGCTGAAGCAAAATTCACTAGGGTCTTGGATTTCGAGGGCGTGGTCGGTACACAGCCGCCGAGATGAACCCCCTCGTTTACATGCTCAATGACAAACTCACGCCGCTTTTTCCATTCGAGTGAATACAAGAAATCCAGCTGTTGACCAACGATCCGCCGCCACTGCAGATGTCTGAGGTGGCTGAGGCCATCCGATGTGTTACCATGTGATGGTGTGTTGTCTCTCATACAGCTGGCTTGACGACCATTTCGTGGTTGACATCCATTTGCAAATCACCACTGACATGAACCGCGTGATTCATCTGGGTTCAGGTACTGTAGACTATTTATATTGAACAAGGTTCGGCATCCTGTCGTCCTATTTTTGAGACTTCCCAACAAAAACACGCCTGAGTATTTGCGAAACTAAGGCATGCTTGTTCGTCGACAATATTACAAGCTCATCAAAGGTTTCGTCAACGCCAATGGCAGTTGGGGCAAAGGTGCCGCGGTATGCAATTTTTACTTACCGATAGTCAGCCTTGATTGTGTTACAAAGCGCTCATACAGATGAAAATTACCGCTACACAATTTAAGTTAGAGCCCCGGCCTAGCTGTTGCCTTGCTCAAAACTACTCATTCGCTTTCTTGTACTGGTGCCGTCCTTTCCAGCGCATATTCCACCATACCCCCAATCCATGGAACAATTTTCCTTGATTATAGACAAGTTTCCCAACAGTCTTCATTCCTGGAGCAAAGATACGGTAATGGAATGTAATGGAAACACACTAACCGTCCACATCCTGTTACACGACAATTATTACCACATCATAACAACAGCACCCTGCCAGTTGTTACATTGACCAACTCCACAAGAGACTTCGAGACGGTTCAAAAGTCACGACAGCAGCACCCTGCCTGTTGTCACATCGACCACTGGTGCAGGCAACGAGAAATGCGCTGCACGAGCCGAGTCTTTCACCGATTCAGATTCCGACGAAACACCGGGATTGTCAGCGGCACAAACAGGTAATTTCATCATCGGCTCAAGAGCAGCGGCGGATACTCGAGAAGAGGTAACGGCGGAGTCGAGGGAGAGAGGGGAGCGCCAGAGGTGGTGGGCGGCGGCACTCATGCTCTGCGCCTCACTGGCCCGCATGGGGAAGGCCTGAAGAGCTGCTGCATAGCGCTCTGGACCGAGGGTAGCATGGCGGGCAGTAGAGAAAATGTTTTACTGTGCATGCCTTGGAAAACAACAGGGCAACCAGATGAAGCAAGAGATATAATTGCACAAGCATGATGTAGCAATGAACAGCGCAGAGTGGGGAGCGGGGGTTGGAAGACATGAAATGGGTGGGAGCTGGGGGGTTTAAGAGTGGGGGGGAGAGGAGGGTGGGAAGAAGGGAAGGGAAAGGGGAAGCAGAAAGGGGGGTATTACACACCGAGGGTGAATGCGATGAGGTCCAGCTGTAGCACTCGTTCTTCCGGTCCTTACCTTGGTGCACTATGCACGCATTCGATGCTTCCAGCCATTGCAACAACATGGGATGGAGAAAAGCACTCACCGAGGGTGAAGGCGATAAGGTCCAGCTGTAGCACTCGGTTCTTCTGGTCCTTTAGCTGCTCTGCACTCCCACACACCCATGCACATTCCACAAACAAAGAAAAAACACGTGTCCTTTTCTCAGAAAATATGTGCAAAGCAAACTTCGTGTGGCATTAATGGGTGAAATACATGGCACACGGCACAGAACACAGAGCACAGAGCGCACATGCACACACGACACTTGTGCCACTCTCGTGAACTCTTAAAAGCTAAACGAGCATAGTCATATGTTCGTCTGCATGTTTTTCTGCAGACTAGCCCCCTGCTGCATCGGGCAACAAAAAACACGGCATAGCACATTGAACACCGCACACAGCACAGCAGCGCGCGTGATGGCATACCTTCGTCTGTGTCTTGATCTGCACCGGACCCCCCTGCTGCTGCGAGCAGCGACAGCCTGTGGTCCAGATTGTCCCACTGTGCCGCCCCCAGGAGTGCCAGCGCTCGGCGAAACAGACCCTGGTGGGCACGGGTGGAGGAAGGGGTGGTATAAGGTGGAGCGCGTTAGAGCAGGGTGGAACAAGGTGGAAGAGCAGAAGCCAGTTGTCCCACTGTGCCGCCCCCAGGAGTGCCAGCGCTTGGCGAAAGAGCCCCTGGTGGGCACAGTGGAACACGGTGGAACACGATGGAGCACGGTGGAACACGATGGAACACGGTGGAACACGATGGAACAAGAATTGAATTCGATCTTATTTCCAGAAAACAACAAGAGTTGCTCACCTGCAAAGATTCACAGTCCATCACATGGCCCCTCCAGCTACCTACCTCGGCAATCATGCCCTCCCCCGTGTGCTGCAGCCTGCCTCGCTGAGCATATGTGTCGCCCAGAAGAGACAGCACAGCTCCCACCATCGGATTGAAGTCTGAGCTATCTGCAGCGGTGAAGGCATAGAGGGGTTAAGGAGGGTGGTGTGGTGAACGGCAAAGCTGGCAATGGTGGGGTGGGACATATGTGTCGCCCAGAAGAGACAACACAGCTCCCACCACCGGGTTGAGGTCTGAGCTATCTGCCGTTGGAGCATGGGGGCGGGAGGGGAGGGGGGGCGGAGGTGGTATGAATCAAATAAGAAAGTGTGTCAGGCACAACAACACGTCTCCCACCATGGGGTTGAAGTCTGAGCTATCTGCTGGGGTGGGAGCACAGTGTGATACAAAAGGTGGTGCTGTTGTGTGCTGTTGTGTGTGTTGGTGCGTTGGCAGATTCGAGACTACGCAGCTTCCACCACAGGGCGAGTATGAGCGATAGGCGCATGGGGGGAAAATGGTGGTGTGATTGAAATGGCGGCATGATTGACTACCAGGAGGGAGAAGAGGCGGAATGGGGGAGGAAAAGATGGGACGGGGGGGAGGGGAAGATGGGAGGGGGTGGGGAGGGGGTATGGAAGAGAAATGTGTGGAAGGGCAATAAGAGACAGCCGAATGAGGTGACTTTTGAGTCGAGTCAAAAGTCAAATGTGTGAAATTGCAATACGAGACAGCCGAATGAGAGCAGGGTGGTGAGGCAGGGAGGGGTTACCATCTGGTTTTTGAGAATTCTCAAAAACCAGGTAGGGAGGAGTTACCATCCATGGCCTCTGCCTCGTTGAGAGCTGCTGTGAAATGAAAGGATGAGCAGCAGGAAAGAGAGAACATGCTGGGGAGTAAAATGGAGGTGAGAAGGAAGGAGTTACCATCCATGGCTTCTGCCTCTTTAAGAGCACCAGTGAAATGCTCCTCTGCTGCTTGAAAATCCCTGCACAAATTGCAAAGGCAGAAGAAAAGAGCAGAAACTTAGGGAAGCAAACGAAGCTGAGAAGCAGGCGGCAGGCGGAGAGGGCAGGAGAGCAGAACACAAGGGAGCGGAGCCGATAGCAATAGGAAGGGCAAAGGAGGCGTGGCCAGGCTGTTCAAGCCGACCAGAGAATTGGCCGGGAGAGCCAAGTGTTGTGCAATGACAAGAGTCAAGGGGAGGTGGGCGAAGCTTCAGTAAGCAGCACCCGGAAACTGCTGCTGCAAGGTGAACTCTCAGAAATGACTCCTTCAGCAGCACCTGCAACTGCTGTGTTGCACTGACTCACCTTGTCCCGCTTGTGTGAGCGCCCCACAAGAATCAATAGTCCCACCCCACCCTACCACCCACCAACCCACCCACCTCACCCCACCACGCACCCACCCACCCCACCCTACCCCACCCCACCCCACCCCACCACGCGCCCACCCGCCAACCCTTGCAGAACCCCACTTCCTGCTACACCCAAATTTGAGACCCAGAGCGCCTACCCTTGCAGTAGCAGCAGCTGCCCTAGCCCTGATAGTGCTCCCACGCGCACTGCTGCCCCCGCATGCAGAGAGGGCGAGAGGAATGATGTTGTTGATGATGCAGTGGTGGGTGGTGATTCGGTTGAGGAGGAAGAAGGTGGCGTGGAGCATTGGATAAGGTGCGAGTAGTATGACGTGGCTTGCTCCCATTGGCCGACGGAGTGCAGGTGCAGCGCCATTGCCAGCCGGGCGAGCCCCGTGGTCGGCACCGAGTTGCAGTCGGGCGGCTCGAGCTCGTCTGCTTCCTGGAAGTGCTCCCGCGCTGGGGGGCAAGGAGCATGGGCAGCAGAGAACGGAGGAGACAAGAACAGGGAAATAGGTCGGAAGAAATGCAACAAAACACATGAATAATGCTTCAGGCAGAGTTATCGCTACATCATCCACTCTCGTTTCATGCCATCGCCGCACTCCATACACATGGTTATCAGCAGCACCGTCACACTGTCACCACCGGCAGCACTGTAACATGGTTACCAGCAGCAGCAAAGTGACGTGGTTACTAGAAGCAGCTATGTTAGGTGATTACCAGAGGCAATGCGGCCGCACAGTTGCTCTATGAGCCCCACAGAGCAGAGCACTCAGGTACCTACACAGTTACCATCAAAACAGTTAGAGTACTACCAGTGGGAATATGACCGCACAGCTGCTCCGCCAGCCCCACAGAGCAGAGCATCTCATTACCAGTAACATGGTTACCATCAGCACAGCACAGCTAGAGCATTACCAGTGGCACTGTGGCCGCACAGCTAGAGCATTACCAGTGGCACTGTGGCCGCACAGCTAGAGCATTACCAGTGGCACTGTGGCCGCACAGCTAGAGCATTACCAGTGGCACTGTGGCCGCACAGCTGCTCCACGATCCCCACGGAGCAGAGCACTCGGAAACGCAGGAATGCCAAGCCTGGTGGTGATGATGGTGATGGTGATGGCGAGACTGATAATGATGCTCCTGATGCTGGTGAGTGGGGTGATGGGGATGCTGACGGGGCGGGTATTTGGGGTTGCAACAATGCAGCTGCTCTCCCAGCAGACTCCATGGCATGTGCGTCCTGGGGGAGGGAGAGAGGGGAGAGAGGGGAGAGAGGGGAGAGAGGGGAGAGAGGGGAGAGAGGGGAGAGAGGGGAGAGAGGGGAGAGAGGGGAGAGAGGGGAGAGAGGGGAGAGAGGGGAGAGAGGGGAGAGAGGGGAGAGAGGGGAGAAAGGGGAGAGAGGGGCGAGAGGGGCGAGAGGGGCGAGAGGGAAGAGAGGATGAATTTAACCATATTCTCACAAGGGAAACGAAAAATTAAACCCGCCATCTCTTTTCAATCATGTCCAAGAGGATTCGTAACTCTAAGGAAGATGCACAGCGCATTGTTTTGCACCATGCGGCAATTTTCGTCGCAAGAAGCAGTCACTTGTATGAAATGAATGAGCCCTCGTTACAATCACACTCACTGCATGGCCGCTGAGGTGTATCCGAACCACCTCCTCCAGCGCCCCAACTGCCACATGGCAAGCAACGATTCGCTGATCAGATCAGAAGCAGGTGGGAGATAAGATGGACTATCGAGGCCTCACTGGTAACAGGCATGGCATGAGGCAGGACCGTACACCCCACAACCGCATACCATCTCTCCCAACCGCACGCTTCATCCACCCCCATCTCCATTTCATCCCCGTTCCTTCACTCACGCATGCTCCTCTCCTCCCACACCTCTCCCATCTCTCCCCACCACCTCTCACCACCACGCACCTCTCTCGCACAGCCCTGCATCCCCCATTGCCGCCACCTCCTCTAATGCCTCCACTGCTCCACTGCTGTCGTGGCTGTGGGGGAAAGAGAGGAGGGGGGAAGAGTGAAGGAGGGGGGTAGGGGAAAGAGAGAAGGAGGGGGAGGTTCGGGTGGGAGGGAGAAAGGGGACAAGAGAGTGGGGAGAAAGCAAGCTAACTTGCTTTAAGAGAGCCCAGAAACTTACTTCTCCAGCACAGAGTGGGCCTTAAATTAGAGCAGCCGGGCTACCCTGTATACAGCTCAAAAGGCAAAGAAAAAAGTTTCTGCACGTTTCTAAAGCCCAAAACCCGGGCCAAGCTAGCACGTCTTGGAACGTACACTCTAAGATGCAGAGCCGCCTTGAAGCGGAGCAGCCGCGCTGCCTGCGACGCTGCTGCGTGCCCGCCCTGCGCCCTCAGCATGCTCGCCCCATGCTCCACCACCCTCAGCGCCTCCTGTGCCGCCGCTGCTGCACACAAAAGAGTGGGAACGAAGAATGAGGCTAAGAATGAGGCAAGAATGAGGCAAGAATGAGGCAAGAATGAGGCAAGAATGAGGCTAAGAATGAGGCAAGAATGAGGCAAGAATGAGGCTAAGAATGAGGCAAGAATGAGGCAAGAATGAGGCTAAGAATGAGGCAAGAATGAGGCAAGAATGAGGCAAGAATGAGGCAAGAATGAGGCAAGAATGAGGCTAAGAATGAGGCAAGAATGAGGCAAGAATGAGGCAAGAATGAGGCAAGAATGAGGCAAGAATGAGGCGGGAGAGGGATGCCTAACCCTTGCTGTACTCACCGTCATCTGACGACTTTTGAGGCGCCTCTTGAGGACTTTAAGGCGCCCCAAATGTCACAGGTTTTGAGGCGCCTCACAAACCCTCTACAGCGCAGTTGTACTCACCGTCATCTGACCCTTCCCTCGCCAGGCACGTCTGCGCGAACGCAATCATCTCATCCGCAAGCCTCCGTTCCGACCCGCCTCCTGCTCCCTCCGCGTCATCCCCGCTACTAGCTGCTCCGCTACGCGCAGCGGGAGCCGCTGCACCCGCAGAGCCGGCAGAACCAGCCTGGACTGCGGAAAGACGGGCAGCGGCGGCGAAAGTTCTCGCTCCGATAGTAGAAAATTCGTTAAAAACACTGCGATCGCCGGTTGTCAGTGAGAAAAGCGGAGCGCACGCCTGGTGCGGGGGAAGCGGACTAGCAGCTACTCTAGCCGGCGAGGGCGACTGCTTGCCGGTGGACGGAGATTGACCGTCAAATCTGACGGCGCCAACAGACAGCTGGACGAAATCCGCTTGGAGGTCTGAAGTGGGTTGAACGGATCGCGAGCTGCTGTTTCCTGAAGAAGCTTCAGCAGCACCGCCAATGACGGAGGAGAATTCGCCATGATCGCTGGTATTCTGCTCATTCCTGACACGTGCGGTCCCGTCATGGATGCTGCAATTGTGAAGGCACGAGGAGAGTATCGCGTAGAACGGCGACGGTAACGAGGGATGCGACTGTGTGAGAAGTAGCCGGCTGGCTGATTTGACGGTCGATCGCGAAACTGCCCCTGCTGGAGCCATGATGCGGGCTGTCACGCTCCAAGACAGCAAAGGCCGATTGGAAACTCGTGTCGAGACAATCGACTAGAATCACTAGAGAAATTTATCGATGAGTAAAAGAAATGGCGGCTCCCTGTGGCTGGAATTTTCTCTTATCGAATTCGTCTGGTGGATATGTCTCAAGTCCTTGGTACTGGCTGCTCCGATTGTTATGAATGAGCCGACCCAGGCTGAGCAGAATGTAAATATTTTCCTTTTTGTCATAATGCAGTTTTGATGTTTCTCCAAGTACTACATCAGATTTGTACTGTATAAACATGGCTGCGAAGCGAATCTTCCACCTTTTATGGAAGCATCGGAAAGTCTTCACGAGTACCAGAAGCGGTGACGTGGCAGATGCGTGCTGGTTTTGGAAGAAAATCGAACCTTCTGGGCCAAACAAATGTGACACAAACGCATCCCTCCGCCGATAATTTCTGATTCCCCCATACTAACTTCACATAAAGTAACAAATTTAGTGCGTATAACGAAATTCCCTCAGTTATGGTTCGTCTGGTTCCTGGCATCCTTGGCCTGTAGCTCCTTGTTCAGCCGAATTCTTTATTCGGCTTTGCTCATTTGCTGCGTGTTCAGCCTGATCGTCGGCTTTCTCATTCCGTCTTTCGCTCCAGCGTTCTCGTTGCAGCGTCTCTGCTAGTCTCTGGCCTGCAGAACCTTCCTGGCCAGTGCTTCTTGCCTTGAAACACCTACTCCTGCTTATTACTCGCCTGATCGTGTCCGTCCATCACCTTCGTCAATCCTGAACATCTCCGATCCGACGTCCATTACGCGTTCCGTCCGATCTTTCCCTCCTCGTCTCGGATCCGATCGTCTTTGCGTTGATCAGGCGAATCTAGTATCTAGGGGTTTCGAATCGGCGCTGCAGCCATGTTCAGGAGCTTGTTGCGGGTGTCGCCGGCGGTTCGGGCTGCTGCAGCCCGATCGTCCACCAATAATGGGAGCGCTAGCCACAGGTACGACTGCATGCGATCAAAACCACTAGACGACTACGTGCGAATAGAGACAAGTGCATGCGATCAGGACTGTGAAATGAATCTTCGTCTCGAGGCGAAAAGACCACTGATCTATATGTTTTTTTTCCGGATCCTAGCGGCCTCATTACTTACACAAACGGTGGTTTCAGAATCATGGATTGCCAATCCCTCCGATTTATGGCACCAGGTTCGTCCATGACGCCAACGGACTGGTGTTACTAGGCATGTTGATCCCTGGACATGTCCATGACCAGGCATACGGTTGCTGCTCTCTCTGATCCATGGCAGCAAGCAACAAGCATGACTCTGCGCTGAGCTCGCGGATTGTTCTGCCGTTTCTGGTCTATAGCCTGAAGCCAGTCCACGATGTCTCTCTCGCCGCTGCTGCTGATCATTCGCCGCTTCATTACCGAGTCATGTGGTTTCTCCGAATCTCCCGTGGTCTTCGAGATATCCTGATCAGCCGAGTTTTCCCCTCCAAATTCTTCGAGTCATCTGATAGACCCATTTTCCGTTTTATCTCTGTCTCCTGTGCTGGGATGCATGCACCTCTCAATCGTGCTGTTCCGGGACTTACCGTCGGCGCTGCGTCTGACCGTCCGATCTCTCAACCAACTATGATTGATTATCATGCGACGCGCGGACGACGGGGTCTGCGTTTCCTTCGGTCGCGGCCGTGCCTGCAACGAACAGAGTCGCTCAGGTACGGATGCCTGTACAGCACACACACCTTTCTCCCTCACGACCTCGCTCTTCCCTTCTACAGTCACACCCCCATGGATTCTCTCTACTATCACACTACTACCATTGCCTTGAACAATTGCATTCCACCCGTTGTACACTTCAACTCTCTTCCCACCCCCCATTCCCCCCCCCTTTGTCTCCCCCTCGCCCAACCTCCCCTCTCAACCGCGCTCCCTAGTTGAATAGTACCGTAATTTTGCCCTCGATTATACTCTGTCCCGTTCTCATTCTCCTCCTGTGACGCGTCTGTGACCTTCCTGTGACCTTCCCTTCCTTTCCTGCTTCCCTCCCTCTGTCCGCCCCTTCCCTCCCTCTGTCCGCCCCTTCCCTCCCTCTGTCCACCCCTTCCGCCCACCCGCTTCCCCTCCCCCCCCCCCTCCCCCCCGCCTCGGCGCGCAGCACCAATGGCAGCGCGGGTTCGCCGCCAAGGACATCCGCTTCGGCGTGGAGGCGCGCGCCGCCATGCTGCAAGGCGTGGAGCAGCTCGCTGACGCTGTGCGGGTCACCATGGGCCCCAAGGTACACGCCGTTACGGTATCTATGTGGTTACCATGGGCTTCAAGGTAGACTGAGGGGCTACGGTACGGTTGTGGGTGACTCTAGAGTTGACTCAGAGGCGCGCGCCGCCATGCTGCAAGGCGTGGAGCAGCTCGCTGACGCCGTGCGGGTCACCATGGGACCCAAGGTACACGCCGTTACACTAGCGGGTTACCGAGATCGAAGTCATTGTTAATGTCACATTGAGCTAGTGGTAACCCAACAGCAATACGGGTAGTCTGAGCTAACCAAAGACGGCTTGACGATCCTCACAGGCTAAACTCACGTCTCTTTTGTGTGTCTCCTCGTGTTGTCTCCTCCAATTCCCTTCTCTTTCCTTCTCTTCCCTCCTCTCCCCTTCTCTCCCCTCCTCTCCCCCCGCTCCCACTCCACCACCCCTCCCCCAGGGGCGGCAAGTGGTGATAGAGCAGTCTTATCGCTCACCAAAGATCACCAAGGACGGAGTAACGGTGGCGCGGTGCATCGAGTTCAAGGACAAGCTCAAGAACCTCAGCGCCCCTCCCCTTGTGCCCTCCCTTCTCTCCCGTCATTTCTTCCCCACTCCTCTCTCCACTCTAGGGTCGGCAAGTGGTAATCGAGCAGTCGTACGGGTCACCAAAGATCACCAAGGACGGCGTGACAGTGGCGCGCAGCATCGAGTTCAAGGACAAGCTCAAGAACCTCGGCGCTAGCCTCGTCAAGCAGGTCGCCTCCACCACCAACGACACCGCAGGCGATGGCACCACGTGCGCCACAGTGCTCACGCGCTCCATTCTCCTCGAGGGGTGCAAGTCCGTGGCGGCGGGCATGAATGCGATGGATCTCAGAAGGGGAATCTCGCTGGCTGTGGAGCGCGTGATTGAGCTGCTCAAGGAGAGGTCTAGGCGGATCAGCACGTCTGAAGAGATCGCCCAGGTGGGTTCTTTTGGGGTGAAAGGGCTGGCTGGGTGGATGGACGGGAGCGCACCTTGGATGGGCGGGGGATTTCGTTGGCCGTGGAGCGCGTGATTGAGTTGCTCAAGGAGTGGAGCAGGCGGATCAGCACTTCGGAAGAGATTGCCCAGGTGGGTTGCTGTATGGCTGAACGGGGGGCTTGATTTGAAGTGGGCTTTGAGGTCGGAAGGCACTGCTGTTTAGAGGGATATAGGGAGGTAAGACACTTCGTGAAAGGGACCAGTGCATGGGAGAAAAGAATCTGACGAAGCGGTTTTTCCATCATCCCCGCTATTCCCCCTTTTCTTGCGTTCCTCCTCTCTGTTGCCAGGTGGGCACCATCTCAGCCAATGGCGAGAGGGAGATCGGAGATTTGATTGCGCGAGCCATGGAGAAGGTTGGCAAGGAGGGCGTCATCACTGTAGCGGTGAGTGTTGAGGGGATCTGTTTTTTGAGTCGACTCAGATCACCTCGTTGCTCTCCTTTAGCGGCTGTTTTTAGTTAAGGGGATCTGCTTGGTGCTCCCTGCTTGAGCTTTATGGAGTGATCCGGTTGCATGGCATGGGATGGAAGAGGCCAGCAAGGAGGCTGCTTTTAGCAAAGCTCTATCTTTGTATGTGTCGTTTCTCTTCTTTCCAATACTTAGTTGGGTGGTCTACTGCCTCTTCTGATGAGAGTCTGACCCTCTTTGCCTGTCCCCTGTGTGTTTCTTGCTTGACTATAACAGGACGGCAAGACACTCTATAACGAGTTGGAGGTGGTGGAGGGGATGAAGTTTGACCGAGGCTACATCTCACCCTACTTCATCACCAACCCCAAGACGCAGAAATGCGTGAGTGCTGCTCTATTATCAGGTTTAACCCACGTGGTCAAGGGTTCTGAAACTTTTATATTCTCACATACCTATTTCTCTCTTCCTTCTGCGCCCTTCACCCCTCCTCGCCCTTCACCCCTCCTCGCCCTTCACCCCTCCTCGCCCTTCACCCCTCCTCGCCCTTCACCCCTCCTCGCCCTTCCCCTCCTCAGGAGCTGGAGAACCCATTGGTGCTGGTGCACGAGAAGAAGATTGCTGGGCTCAGCTCCATTCTGCCCGTCCTTGAAATCGCCCTCAAGGTAAGTACCCCCCCGCCGCCCAACCTTGCCCCCCCCTCCTGCCCC